GTACTACGAAGTTTGTCAAGGCTAGAAAAATACAGTACCCAGTACTATCATACGTTCGGTACGGTACGACACATCACAATTACAAAAACTACTAGTAGTACTACGAGTACGAGTAAGTAAGTACGAGTAGTTCGAGTACTCGTATCGTTGAAAAAGAATACGAAGTACGAGTACGTACCGGTACCCGTTCTCGTCCAGTACTCGTACTTAAATCGCCATGGATCTTGTATGATTCTCTTCCATTCCAAACGATCGACGGGAAAGGATATCCAGTAGCAGTGTTTACGAACAACCTCTCTCTTGGGATGCAGCAAGGTCCAATAGCTGTTTTATAGTATTGACCTTTGATTACTAGACTAGGACCAGTTCTAGCCAAGGGATAGGTTGATCCACAGCTCTTATATGCAGAGCGAGGAGGCCATTTCGGACGAATCGATCGGAACTTTTGTGTGTTGCTATCGCCTGCWTTGCATGCATTGAGAACACTTGATTAGGATGGTGGGTTTCGGTTCGAGTTTGCGGATGGGTAGGAGGACGGGATGGGAGTCGGCCTACCTCGATTACGAAACGCTGAAACTGCTCCTGTCCCAAATCGAGGCCGTCTACGAAGAACGCGATTTGACCGGCGCATCCGCAGACGGATTCTTCGTGAGCATGGGRGGTCCCGGCGGTGGYTTTGCYGAGTCCGAACGGAACGCAAACAACAACAACGGGAACAGCACAAACAACGAGAGTGGCAACAATCAGAACACCGATTATCGAGACGAACTCTTTCTCGAATGGGATTCCGACATTGCCTTCGCCTCGGAGGTAGACGTAGGGAACGACGAGGACGAAGACAGCAGCGATGGATACGAGTTTGAGTACGGAAATAGAGACGTAGATCCCGATCGAGCGGYCCTGGACGAATCGATCGAGTACAACTACATCGGTGTCACTGTTTGGGAACAACAAGGGTTGGGACAGCACCACATGCACGTCGATCCTTACCAATCCAAAAACATGGGCTCTGGATCGGAACCCGCGTCTCAGCACCGCCAGAACGCACCGTCTCCTTTTTCCGTATCGGCATAYGCTACCACAAAAGACAGTGGAATGTACTCGTCGTCGAGCGACGAAGACAAGCGCTTCTACCCGAAGCCCTGGTCGAGCAYGCAAAGAAAGAAAAAGGACAGGTCTTCCAAGAAACCTAGGGCTCTGTTTACCAACATCATTGGGAGCAACAAAAAGAAGAAAAAGAGACAGAACTTTCACCAAAAATCGACTGCCACTGCTCTTCCGGACGCCTTTATCGTAGAAAAAGGAAAATCTGGTGGCGGATACTACGGCGACGGTGCCAACCACAGTGGAGACGACAGCGGTGGGAACAACTACTACTATTACAATTTTGGCGGGAACGATGACAGCGATCGCCGTCCATCTTGGACTTCCGGGGGCAACCGCGACGACAGCATGGGYAAGGGTGACGAGCAGTCTCCCCTGATGSGATGCACGCCATCGACCCCCACTCCAAAAGCCGGCAAGGGAAATTTTGTGTCGTTTCCAACCCCCCAGAAAGGCGACAGCGGTAATTTTCGGTCATTGGATAATTACGGTACAATTGTCAATCCTAGGTCGATGACCCCATCAAAATCAACAGCAGCACCGTCRTCGGCAGCAAAAGCAAAAGCAGGGGTCAAAGACGACGGTCTCTCTGCCAATTACAACAAGAAGAACGAGCGAAAACTCCGGTACGACCGAGAACGCCGTCGTGCAAGGAAGCAACGAAGGAGACGGCTTCTCATGCGCCAACGGAAGGAACGCGAGAAGAAGGTTCCTCCCCACATTCGGATCGCACACGAGAAGGCTCGGGCGATTACAGAAAGGTTTCTGGGCTTGTTGCGTGCCGAGGTCGAAAAGGTTACCCTCTTCGCCCAGGCAAGGTTGGGTGAGTTGGCGGATACCGCGGGTAGCCTTCGGTTTTTGTCGTCTGACGAAACGATGGATACATCGGCAATTAACCCAGCGAACTACGAATACCCGTTGTCGGATGGAGGGATACATCCATCGGCCTCGTCCTCCTCGGACGAAGGAGCCGGTGGTTATCACAACCCTAACTACAAAGGGGGATTTCCTTGGTCGGATTCTTCTTCGGACGACGGGGGCAGCAAGGCAAGTGGAAGCGGAAGAGTAAACATTGCAAAGACCTTTTCTTCGAACGATGGCTACTCTGTTCGGACGGATGCTCGGGGGAACCTTACTTCAGCACCACCAACGCCACCGACACCACCATCACCTTTGGCGGCGGCAACCAGAAAGAGAGGGAAGCGGAGTCCCGGACGCCGTGCCTTTACCGAGACACGAGAAAAGTTTGAGGCTACCAAACGAAAGATAGCTCAATTTCAAGAAATCCGACGAGAGCGATCCATTTTTCAACGAAATGATTACATAGTGGGCGAAGATTTACTTCTCATCTCGGCCGTAGACGAAGCTGATGCCTTTTCTGCTGTAGGCGTGGAACTCTTGCACATTCTGAAATACATTTGTGTCAACCTGATTGCGGTTAGAAAGATCTGTAAGAAGCACGATCGTCTGCTMATGAACCGTATGCTGGGGGGTTACTATCATAGAAAGAGAACGACACGATCTCAAGAAGATACTACCCTGGGTGGTTTGATTGCCCACGTAGCAGGAGATATTTACGAAGCCCACCCTGATCTTATCGGTCTTGTCAATAATGGGAAGTTGATTGGAGTTTACGATCTGAAGATCCARCAACTCGCCAATTCGAGAACGGTGAAAGTGATTTCTTCGTGTCTTGCATTGACGCTGTCAGAATACGAAGTCTCAAGGTGGAGGGCTGATGCATTGGCGAAGTTGAACCCTGCTCTAAAGAAAGGAAGAAAAACGTCACCTGCGTCTCAAGATCAAGGCAACGTATCATGGCCATTCAATATCAGGACCGACAACTGTCTGAAGAAATCATCGCAGCAGCACGAAGAAACCCTTCAACTTCTACAAGATTGCGATATTTATGTTGGATCCGATGACGAGCATGGTGCAGGACCTCCATCGACAACGTCGGCTTTATCGTTGTCTAGACTGAGGTATGCAGTTCTCTCAATAGTAAGTTATATAGTTGTAACCAYGGTGCCAAACGGCACCGTTTCTTCCTCGTGCAGGTTTTCTGTAACTCACTCAAGATATTGCAATCGATGTCAAAAAGGCTGCTCTTCGCGAAGCCTCGAGAATAAAATCCAATAAATTTTCAAGTTATTTGAGTCGATCAACTCTGACATTCACAGGTCATGCAATTATCGGTGAAGGACTCGATGGTTGTTCGAGAGATACTCTCGATGTTTTACTCTCGTACAACCCAAATGCTGCTCTACTGCTAGACACATCAGCTATCTATGAAGGCCTGAAATGTGGCCAGTGGCGGGAATCATCGATAGCAAGTGTGATGACCTCGGCCTTGGCTGTTGCTCTAACCCTTCCATATTCCAGACACACATCAGGTCCCATTGTCATGTCGCCACGAGCAGTTCACGAAAAGGAGTTGATAGTCTCCAATGCCTTGGGTATTTTGCCCCCAAAATCAGAAGGATTCATCCAAAAATCTCCCCTCGAGGGAGCTGGATTGCCTCCTTCRATTTTCTTACGTATCAGTCGATTCACAGATGTTCCTGCTTCGGTACTGCGCGCAAACCGACTAGCGCTGCTTTTGTACAACGTAAGTRCGGCGTACAAACCGATTCTTTTTCGTATGAAAAGAAGTGTCTAACAATATCTCTCCATTCATTTAGGCAAACTATTTCATATCGCATCCAACATCAGTGACTTTGGTATTGGATTCGGATGAGAACATTGCTTACTCAGCTCTTGTTATAGGAGCGCCGACCCTCTCTGCAATTATTACGTCGATGATGCATTGCCGTATTCTATCCGGATATTCCACAATGAGAATAGTAAACAGGAAGAACGTGAACCTCTTTCGCTATCTTCTTATATTTTCATGCTTTAGCGCCATAGCTGGAAATGTTGTCCAGGTTTATGGAATTCAGCAACAATCAATTGCGTTTACGGTAAGTGAAAATAATCTCGACTWGTCTGAAAAAGGTTGTAATCTGTTTGGTAAAATTTACCTCATAACCGTTGTGCTTATTCTTTGAATAGATTTTGGGAAGATTTCTTATGGGGTTTTCTGCTGCAGAGATTGTGAATAGACAGTTCGTGGTTTGYTTCCTCCCTGCATGTTTGATCGTAGCCGAGTCTGCTCGTTTGGTCCAATTTCAAGTTACCGGGCAAATTCTTGGTCTATTGATTGGATCTTCGGCAGGTAGCTTGATACCAACGACCKCGGAACTAAATTTGAGTTTCATGTCTTTCGTCTATCAAAATAATGATTCAAGGTCTGACCAAAGCAACCAAGAACAGAGTAGTCCGGGACGAAAGCTTCTCCGTGACGAAAAAAATCTTAACTTAACTCTTTCAGAATCATCGATCAAGCAGRCATCGCTCCCAGTTGAGTCATCAAAGGATCCAACGGGAATTCTTACTCTGAAGGCTACTGACACCACTAAAAATCGAAAACTTACACCCATTCCATCAGCATCACCAACAACGGCTTCACCAATGACTAAATCATCAGGAGACAAATTCAGCAGCCMTACTTTGACGTATGGAGGTTCAACTTCAATCCCAACCAACTTCGGAAAAAATGCATTCGAAACGTTAGATCCGTCATACTTCGGGCTATCAGAAAAATCTGTGGAGTTTCCGAGGTCATCATCRTCGAGCTTTTCTGAGAAACCCATGTATGCATCTAGTGCTTTCGATTCGCTAAGCTACAAACCATCCATGTTTCCAAGCGGTWTGMATTCTGAAGCCAATGAGAGCCAAGTTCGCCGCCTGACTGCTGCAAATTGGATAATGATTGCTCTYTGGGTGATATACTTCCTTTATGTGCTCTTTGGGTGGGGAGTTTTGGACAACGCACCCGATAAAGGTAAGGARGGAACCGGTGAGGCCGACAATGGTAATCTTGCCGATGATGGAAATCATCAAGATTGCAACAGTTCTGAATCGTCTGAATCCGTTCAAGAAACTGTTATGAGAGATTATTCATCGAAATTAAGTAAAATCAGCGCCGATCGRAACTTTCCAAAAACCGAGGCAGCAATTCTATCAGARAGCCCAGCTGACAGCCAAAAAGGAATCAATATAAGGAGTCCAAAGCGGAAGCGTTTTCGAAAACTCAGAACCTTCACCAAAAATCTCCGCAAACTGATGACGTATAGCATAGCAATCCCCGTCTCTATGGTTGTCATTGTATGCACAATGTTTGCGCAAGAAGTGTTGTTTTCATCTTGTGCTCTGATCACAACATGCTATTTTAATTGGCGAGGGTCGGTTGCTGGTCTCTTTCTCGCGTCACTGTCGGTYGTGCTTTTACCATTGGATTATTGCTGCGAACATATCACTCGACGATACGAAGAGCGTTTTTTGGTTGAAGTAAGTATCTGCGTGTTGCTGTTGTCCCGACGAAGGATCTCAATTTTCCATAACTAACCTAATCCATTCCTTGTTCACAAACTATCACAGCGGAGTATCTTGCTACTTGGACTGGGGCTGCTTGTGATAGTAAACTGGGGATCATTTTTTGCTCTTATCCCCAACATAAAGAATCTCTTYAAAGAAGATCGAAGYAATCGCCATCACCAATACGATTGGATGCTGGGAGTTGGACAATACATTGTCGGATTCATAATCACTTTCACTGCTTTGCGAGCACTAGGGATCGGATCCCGTTCCCTGCTAAGCAAAGTATCGCCACCGAACTTGCAGAATATCGTCGTCAATTTGGGAACTATTGTCACCTTTGTCACCCTTTTTTCGCAGCTGTTTGCCTACCTCTACATAGCTTCGATTGTTCTGTCTCAGCGAGAAATCAACATCGACATTCTGAATTCGTTGCTGATGCCAATTTCAATCATGGCTTTGTTGATGTATTATTTTGTCAGAAAGCACTACTTCTTTTTACTGTAAGAAGAAGTTGAGGATTCAGTAAGAACCATGGTGGCACAATAGCTACTACTAGTAGTAAAAAGTGAACAGAATTACCCATACTATAGTACGAGTAGTACTGCACATCATGTTCATGCCATGTCATGTCATGTCATTTCATATCATGGTCACATACCACTACAGTACATCATACACATGCTGGTGGTGGCATGATTTATATAGTAGTAGTACTACTACTAGTACGACTATCTAGTACTATACTAGTAGTAGTAGTTAGTAGTAGTAGTACTACTACTAGTAGGCTTATCTGGCGATAAATGAATAGGCTCCAAAATGAGCTGGCTAACCCCAGTTTTAAAAAATTGTTTACTTATAGATGCAATAGAAGTGTACAGAGCCTGGCTGAAACTGAGTTATTTTTCAACAGTTAGTAGAAGTACTAGTGAAATTTTGAAGCGTAAGCCGTAATCAATAATCAAGCTCTGCTTGTAACTCATCTACGCTCGGTACGTACGTATGGTAAGTACATCATAAGACACTAACCATTAACCATACTCTCATATCCGGGAGTCATACGCTGCTCCCTAAAAACAGACGACATGTTCTTTTCCACTTTGCCATCTTGACTTCTTGCAATTTAGAGAGACGGCGGTTCATGAGCATGGTGCGTGGTACGTGCTTTTGCTGGTAGTTGTGTCAACTTCTGGCACGAGGAATCATGTCATCCCAGATCAGAAGACGAAGTACCGATACTACAGGCCGGTAGGGTAGAAATTACGACTACACTGCAACGGATCAAACATGAATGATAATCGCTTCCTGCTTCTATTGGTGTAGCACGAAGCCCTCTCCCGTACTAGAACGAATACCGCACGATAGCTCCATCCACAAAAAGAACGATTCATCGTCGTCGTTCAGAACGAGTCATAATCGCATTGTTCCTCTTTTCCAAATCTTCGAAGTAAGAGAGAACCGATATTCAAAAGAATCCACGAGAACGAGCTATATCAAAGAACAATGGTTGCTTYCACGAGCCCAATCCACGTCGTAGCAGCWTCTCTGGTGCTATCATCAATCAGTGCATTTGGTCCTTGCTTAGAGCCACTCTCCCACTCTCACTCGTACAATCACGGACGCTTCTCGCATCTGTACGCCTCCGAAGGCGAAGAAAATAACCACCACGACAGCGAYGAATCGCTTCCATCCTATTCTTGTGAATTTGACCTCGTGACTGCTGCTCCGCTTGATGGTTTGGACGAGCTTTCGACGCTGTTCAACCACGGAGGTTTCGATGGGACCTTYCCGTTTCTGCAGGAACAAGCAGAGGCAATGGCTCTAGGAACCTACGAAGAGAATGGTTTGCTCGAATTCGATATATGGGAGAACGAGTCGCTTGACTTGTGCGGTGACGAGTGCAAAGAATGCGAGATTCCCAAAGATTGGTTTGCGGTATCTCCGGCGGAAGAGATCGATGTCATGAAATTTCTTGGCGTCACCCGAGTAAAACCCCTGCGCTGACGTTTTCGAGAAAACCATTATTCAAGGGTAGCGAACAAGCGAGTGATTCGATGCTTCTTTTCAAACCAGGGGGAACTCGTTGGGTGGTGTCATTCAATTCGACAGCGATCGGCACGCCGTCCAACAAAGTAAATGGCTTCCAAAGACAAACGTTGATTGATTGCAGATTGCTTGAATCTTCTCTGTGGAATTGCCATTACATACTATTATACATACATTTCGAAATACGATAAACAAACTACATAGAGCTAATAAACAAAAGACATWATCGAGTGTAAACATTGAAATACTACAAAGAAGTAGTGTCATGCGATTGGGAATCATTAAAATTGAACATTTGATTCMGGCATCAATGCTTCTTTTCTRAAAACKCTTTACAGTATTGGGACTGGTGATATGGTATGTATCTWCATACCTTACATTTACTTTKTGTCACCTTAGGCAACTGCTGGGGCTGTGTTCTTTGAGATAGCCSCGTTGAGTTTGAGCATGCACAAGGTAGCCAACCCCAAAGCACCCGAACTGATACCGAGTGCACCGTTCACGCCCAAATACTTGACGAACATGAAGACACTCACAACCAGTACGTTCAGAGGAATACCGAACAAATTCATAATGACAGATCGATGAGAGTCGGGAATATATTTGCTGCGCAGGGTTCCAATCGAGGGGAAGTACATTCCTACACAGGCTTCAAAGGCAAAGAAGGAAGCAATCAGTGCTGGCAGACTGCTAGCTGCCGATGYKGTCGARACGGTGTACGTAGCAGTCGACATGGCAATGGTAGCAATGGCAAGCATGCCGGTTGTGACTCCCTCGGTGGTGGGTCCCTTCATCTTGGCAAACTGACCGAAGAGCGTCGACCCGAACAGGCAGCACGCCATGAAGCAGGAGAAGACGGTGCCATATGGCGTYACGGCACCCTCTCCGAACGATTTGGCGACAGCTGCGGCAATGGCGGGTGGCCACTGTAGGACGAAAATGTACATCGCGGCTTCGAACAAACTCTGAACGCCTCCGACCATCATGATCTTGGGGTCGGCGCGCACAACATCGATAGCGTCCCTGATGGAAGGTTTGTTGCCGCCACTATCGTCGGATGATTTGGCCGCTACGTTTTCCTTCCACAAGAGAGCCGCCAGCAACCCACCCACGGCGAGGAACCCCGTCGACATTTCGAAGGGTCCTGTAGGGCCGCGTCTGGTAGCCGCCAAACTTGCTAGCTGACCGGCGATGATGGCCACGATGGAATCACCCGCGTATGCCTAGATATAAAATCCGAATGGAAGGAATGAAAAAAATCGAACYGGTCAGAATCAATGAATGACATCGATCGAACAAATYCAAAACATCAATCTGTTATCCACGACGTTTCAACCAWGACAKGTTTTGCGTARTGTGCGAAGCACACCTGGAGCGTCTCGTTCTTTTGTTTTTTGATAAATTGAAAAAGAGCWAACGTACCAATCCAAATGTTTCTCCAAGGTATTCTCCRTCAGGATCGTCTCCGCTCCTTTGGCTTTCGCCGACGAGCCACGATTCGGGTGCACTGAACAACAAGCTAGTACCAATTCCAGACATGACACGACCAAAGAGGAGTACCATAAGAAGGGGACTTTTTGTCGAAAGGGCTCCAATGGCGTAGAGAATAGAAAAGGCTAGGGTTCCCTTCTTTCGTCCGTAGCTGTCAATGGCCCGCCCCACAGACGGCCCAAACAAGGCGGTGGAAGCGAATCCAGTGAGAAACAATCGACTGATCATGGCCATAGAGGCCGGGGCACCTCCAAACATCTTGGAAGCATACACCTCGTAAAAATATGGGCCCTGCAACCAATCGGCACATCGGAGCAACCAAAAGACGGACAGAAACTTTCGCTGCAAGTCTTTGACGCTGTCGGGTTTTGTTTTCTTCGATTCGGTTGCGTCCGAGTCGCCGCCTTGCTTTGTTCTGCTATCGACTGCTTGGAGAACCTTGAAKGTAGTTGTCAGCATAGCTACGGCCAATAGGCATGTATTGAAGAGCTTGGTCKGGGTCGCTGTAGCAACGGCRGATGCGCCTCCACGGAATCGACCRACAACGCTGGACACCAACGACAAGGATGGTGCCGATATCCCGGCATACATCTTCAGGTTKGTCGCAGTAGACGAAGAACGCTGCGACTGGTARATCGCAGATCCCGGTCGGATTCCAKTTCGCAGTGCGAACGAAGGCATCTGATTTGGCTGTTTCTGGTGCTGCGTGCCGACAAACTTAGACGTCGGCCGCGYAGCCATACTACCAAAGGCCGAAGTCTGAACCATCAAGGTCACCAACAAGAAAAGGGTGGTGAAGAGGAGTCGCGCCATGATGTCGCTTGATTCTCTTGCCTAGTATCAAATGCAACGCTAGTGCTTCGGTGCTTTCAGTACAGTCTGTTCTAGACGGTCTTGTGGTTCTGTTTCTTTCCAGAAGATATTGTCGAACAGGTGTCAAATCGTTCAAACATTAGAACCTACGAGTACAACGAAAAAACGAGAGCTGTTGTTGGCTGTTCTTCCGCAAGGGACGTACGCGCTCCTACGTGACGATCGGTAGGTGGACGTGCGAAACGAATTCATTCGGCACGGATTGAAAAAAAAAATTATTGATTGATTGATGATCCATAGATCGGAGGATCATGGTACTACGAGTAGTTTGTCGTCGTACGTGTTATCCCGTCAGTCTCTCGTACGGGTTGATCAAAGCGTATGAGTATGTACCGCACCTCGCATGCACGTGTAACAGGAATACTAGTAGCGACCCCAAATTTGAACACTCGAGTGAGTCATCGGTATGTCGGTCCAAACTTCTGAACTCGTGACTAACCACTCACTAACAAAAAATGGGACGCTGACTGAGTGTGTGTAGTGTGTGTGATTTCACAAAACGTTTTTTTAAATTTTGACACCGATGATCACCGATGATTTCGAGAGAAAGTGAGGATGTATGCAAGAGTCTCTGATGCACGCCTACRAACAACACGAACCCCTTTCGTTCTTTGTTCTTCTTTGACGACAATGCTTCTTCAAATCAAACATTAGYACGGGCGATGACAAAGAATCGATCCTGATACTTTCGGAAGCGTTCCATTMGTCCCAAAGATTATTTTTGCTCTTCTGCCTCGAGAAGTCACAAGAAGCAGGTTGGTCCGATTTCAGTTTTGGCCTGAGCCTCATTGCCTTAGACCCTACCACCAGCTTAATTTGCATGCCATTAAAATGAGGAAWTCATTTCGGTTTAGACCATTGATCCTCCTATCGTCACTGGGGGTTGTGATTCCACCGGCATCTGTACTTTCATTTCGGGCACARTGGCAACAAGAAMCAGTTCGAAACCGATGGAATTCTCCAATAAAACCAGTGGGTACAGTTTTCGGAACCACAGAAGCACACACAACGATATGCCGTCCACCGTCGGCTTTAAGGGCAGAAGGGATTGACCATCCCTACGAATACGACTTGGCTGTCATCGGGGCGGGACCGGTTGGTGTTCAGGCGGCAATCGTTGCAGCGTCGACAGCGAAGAAGAAGGTAGTTCTGATCGACGCACCCCGAGCTTCCGGCCAGTTGATGAACGAAGAGACCAACGAAGATTTATCCATCGGTGGGCCAACCGGCTTGTTTTCCAAAGCCTTGAGGGATGCCGCAAAACGAATCAAGGTGCCTACGCTTCGTGGAATGAATTTGCGGGAGGACAGCATTTGGAACGAAATCACAAGTTCGTGTGTAGAACTCGCTTCCTTCAACGCAAACGACGTCAAACGACAATTGGAATATGCGGGTGTGACCTTAATAGAAGGATACGCTAAATTCAGTGAYGTCGGCGGTAGCCACCACTTGACAGTTTGCCAGACGGGAGATACTGTAACGAGTACAATTTCGACMGACAAGGTATTGATAGCAACGGGATCGAGACCGTTTCGGCCAGACAATATTCCATTCGACGGGGTCCGTGTATTCGATTCCGATTCCATCAACGGGTTGAAGTTTTTGCCGAAGTCTCTGGTCATCACAGGAAGGTAAATATACAGTGCTGACATCGAATTTCTGTTGTCCACAGCGAAAGATTGCATGCTGCTCAATAGCAACTCATGGTTATGCCCGATGTCTTTTCTCTTCTGTCTCACCCATACATTGCTCTTTTGTGCCGCAAAACTCAAACTACCTACCAATGCACGAACAAACGAATAACCAACACTTCAGCGGAATCGTTGCAATCGAATTTGCAAAGATCTTTTCGAATCTAGGGTGCGACGATGTCACACTCTTRATTCGTGACAAAAGCCCCAAAAATGCTCTGATGAAAATCGGGTTGGACAAAGATATTGCTGCGACCTTGGTTGCCGACTTGGTGCGTTCCGGGATCAGAATCGAGCGCGACTGCGAGGTAGGAACAATCGAAGTACCCACAGCGGCGGCATCGGCCGCCAACAAGAAGAAGGACTATATCGYGCCGTTGAAGATCGGTTTGAAGACCAAGGGTGGGATAGATGATCGTCCACAGAGCAGTCTGCAAGAAATCAGGTGCGATGCGTATATTGCTGCGGTGGGGCGAATAGCCAACACCGAAAATCTGAATCTAGAGGCAGCTGGAGTCGAAGTTGATGAGTATGGGGGGATCACTGTCGACAGTCACCTWAAAGCTAAGGGCGTAGAAGATGGCAATGTATACGGTGCTGGGGATGTTCTCGGACGGCCTTTTTTGGCGTCAACAGGTGTTGCACAAGGAGTCGCAACTGTCAAGAACATGTTCGACCTTTCGCTTCCACTGGATCTCGATGTCTGTGATGAGTCGAGCGATTCTTGCGGAGCCGAGGACCTCCTGCTCATGAAAGCTGCAGCGTGTGACCCTACATCCCTAGCAGCGAATCCAGTAAGTTCGCGTTSATGGAATCGCAGATTTTCATTCAGGTCCGATCTTTCCATCTCCAAAATCTAATTGTTCTGTTCGGTTGTCGTTATGCTTGTTATTTTAGTTTGCCTTCCCGGTAGGTGTATGGTCTTCTCCCGAGGCTGCTTATTATGGGCTATCGTTGGCACAGGCGAATGAGATGGGCATTGAGGCCGGAGAAGGCATCTCGTTGTATGCAGAATGTCTTCGTGGGCTTGTTTTTAGTCCAGATGGTTTGCTCAAACTTGTCTTTCAGAAATCGACTGGTGTTGTTGTTGGTGTTCATATTTGCGGAGATGATGCCTGCGAACTGATCCATTATGGGATGGAACTTGTTAAAACCCGGCGGACGATCACTGACATCGCAAACAGCATGTATTCTGCCGTGACGTATCATGAAATGTATAGAATTGCTGCTCTGTCATGCATGGATCCCAAAGCAGCACGAAAAAGCAGAGCAGCAGCCGGAAGGGCATTGGCTGAGCGACGAAGAAACAMCAAGCAATAATGTAGAAGTAATAGACTACGCACTCTATTGAAAGGACGTGCTAGTAGAAGAATTMTTTTGCTTGTTGAGTTTGTCGTAGCGACCTTCGTTTCTTCGTAGCTTTTGGCGTTTTACTTCAGCTGTAARCGTTCAGTGGTACTCGTAGTAGTAAACATCATTCTCTATTGTATTGATGATCAGGAGGTAGCAAATTAACATYTATACCATGATGCACATAATCAGGCATTCATAAACCTCAYCTCCTCATCTTTTCTGCAGATGGACTGGAGGATCGATGGGGTAAGTRCGACGATGGTTACCATTACTTGATTTACAGAGATACAACTTGTAGCTTAACTACCAATCTACTCTACGGGATCGCCCCTTCTATCGCCTTCCCAGTGATAAAATCCCTTGCCGGTTTTTCTTCCTAGATCTCCAGCGTCGATTTTCTCTTGTAGGCAAGCAGGAATGAAAAAGGCGGGCTCGTCTGGAAAGTTTTCCGTCCATCCCTKTACAATCGAATGGCAGGTGTCGAGCCCAATGTAGTCGGCTAGGTGCAAAGGTCCCATTGGGTGACCGCAGCCCAACTTCATCGCAACGTCTACGTCCTTTACGCTAGCCTCTTTGCGGTCCACGACGGCCATGGATTGCATCAAGCTCGGAACAAGAATTCGATTCACAATAAAGCCTAGTGCAGTGTTTAAAGGGAGGGCGGACGAAGAATTGAGGCAAGGAAACACAAGCAAAGCAATGAATCRTGTATGCGTCGTTGCGTTGCAAAATCGTTTTGTTCGCTCGCTTTCGAAAGAAACGTACCTGGCGTGTCCTTGCACAAGACGGATACTTTGCCAATTTCTTCCACCCATTTCATGCCTTTTTCTAGAACAGTGGGGTCCGTCTCATTTGTTTCGATGACCTCTACAACTTTCATTAGCTAAAACATTGCCATCGGGTAGATGGGTGGGTGATATCGTGGAAAGGAGTCGAACGATGCAACAATCATTTTTAGCCGTGCCAACGAGGTTTTGGATCTTTCGACCSGCCATAGAAATTTGCTAGAAAACCAATATTACAAATCCTYTCTGCCKAACCAATAAGAATAGCGTACCTGAACCGGATTGAAAAAATGAACACCCAGAAAGCGATCGGGCCTCCCCGAAAAACCTGCCATTTCTGTGCAACATGTAATGMATGCAAGCATTTCGTGGATATTTTCAAGTTCGACAAAAGCAATAGCAAAGAAGGCAAGCCTTGACCGTGAGCTGTATTGGTAAACTCAATTAAACGTCGGATAGAAGAACGTTATACGGAACGCTTGGGAATTTGCGATGCTATCAGCAAACATGTCAATCTTTCGGAACATCGTTTCATAGATTGCAGCCATCATTCCTTTGATTTGTACGACCTACGTGGGTTTCATCGTTCACAAATTGCAATGTACGCACCTGCAATCGACAAGGAAGACGTATTGGAAGCAAAGATTGTTTCTGGTTTGCAAAGGTCTCCCAACGACGTGTACAAGTCTTTTTTCAGATCAATGTTTTCTACAACAGCTTCGACGACAAAGTCGACGTCCTTCAAGGCATCCATGTCCGTAGTGAATTCGATCCTCCCCATCGCATCGTTCGCAAAATCCAGGGTCATTTTCCCCTTTTCGACAAGCTTTTCAACGGATTTCAAGATTCGGTCCTGGCTTTGGATGAAAAATTAGAATACACAACGACAGTCAGTGCTTCGTAGAGTAAGCAAAAGCGAGGAGGAGAGCTCCTTTGGTAGGCCACTAATTTTCGTTGTAGTTTTCGCGATCACTGTCCTCAAGCACGTACCCAGAATCTAGAAATCCTTGCTCCTGCTCAAATGCAATAACTTTGGAATGTACCCCCGACATGGCGGCCACCTGACAAATCCCGTGACCCATCAATCCCAAACCGACACAACCGACCGTATCGAACCCGGAACCGTCCGCAGGAGAGGCAGTTGATTTCGACCGTGTTGCTGTTACTGCCATTGTCGTCGTCGACGACAAGGAACCCAACTGCCCGCAAGATCTCAAACGGGGGAGATGATTCCTGCCAATAGAGACCATGGGGGATCGATTCCCCAAGATTGCGAACGATTTTCTGGCGGAGGCAACAGATTTCGAGAAAAGAACCATCGTCAAGTGTTACCGTAGTTAATATTGCAACAAATTCCTAWTATGCACGTAGTGTCGAGTAGTGTGCTAGCTATTTCTTGCTATTCAATTTCGGTTTGAGACCAGATAAGGGTTGTCCTCCTCTTTAGTGGGCACGAGTCCTTGTTTGAAAAAAAATAAGAAATCTGTATCCTCTACACGATGAAAGCGGGAGAGTTCCCAATTTGCGGCGTCATGAAAAAAGGTGTCACGAATGAACGATCCCGGATGCATGATGATTTAGTCATACTCATAGCTACAAAACCTATGATACCTATGATACAGAATGGAATGTCAAATGTCAACGCTTTTGCTTTTTGTTTGCCCTTCGTGTTTTGTGTTCAGTGTGCATTGTGCATATTGCATATCTAGTATCTAGATGATACAATACTGTATGATACATATGGTTTATAYCTATGATCAGGATTGGTTCGCGCGTGGATTCGATGTGCGCATGCTCTTGCCCCGTGCTACCTGTCGCTGTGTGCAATTTCAACAACAACTTGCTTGCGTTCGTCCAAGRACYGTACGGTACGGTACAGTACGCAACGTACTGTACAGTTCAGAGCGCAACGGCAACAACAGCAACAGGAAGACCCTCGATCGGCGATCTCTCGTTGACCCGGTCYAGTAGTAACCACCCTTGTGAATTACAATCGTACACAATGAGTGCCGCATCCGCAACATCACGACGAGTTGTTCGCAACCTTGCACACCGCAAGATCGACTGGTGAGTATTCCGTTTTGTGAGCGAAGGAGCGGTTGGAATCGACCGTCTGGTTGTACGGCGAAGGCCGATGCCGATTCGTAGAGATTTGGATCGGAATGGCGAACGCATCGTGAAGTTCYAGACGAATGGAGGATCCATCGCCAAGTTTACYGCTACCTCGATACGCGGGTTCTATCWAGGTATTCCATTCTGACACTTATGCCGACTTTTTCTCTCGACTCGATTGGATACGAAAATGTCTCTTCTGGTCTACRACGCAYACGTATGGCTCAAACGGCGTGCCCGTATCCCCCGAAACGGAACTCGATGGAAATACAGGAGTGCCCCCGTCTGGAAGGCCGCTCCCATCGTTCAGAACGTGAGCAAGTTCCGATCGTGGGTTGCCACCGCCGACACCCAGGCCGAAAAATACTCGGCCGCGCCCGGTCCCATCGATTTCAAGTCCGCGAAGGACTCTGTTCGCGACAAGGAACTCGTCGATTTCATGGAGGCCTTTTACAAGTCGGCCGATATCCCCGCCGAGACACACGAGTGGGACGCCGAAGACAAGGCCTTCAAGCTTGCCCACTTTGATCAAGTTAAGGAACAAGCCGCCGTCTACGCTGAATTGAAAGAAGATACCCTCAAAGAAATCGAATTCCTGAAGTCGACCAAAACGACCGAAGACACCACTATCCACGACCTTATGTGCAACAACCCCACCATCCACGAAGAGATCGAAGACGAAATTGAACGTCGCGAATGGTTCAAGGATCTTGTTGTTGCCGACAAAGCTTAAAAATAAGCAATCAATGATGCACAACTCTATCATATAGTGCAATCTACTAAAAACTCGCCAAACTATACTATAGTATATGAACGTGAAAAGGAATATTCATTCATGGGATAAATGCCCTTCGTTGTAGTGACGAGAAGAAGTTTCTGACGGTCGATAAGGGATTCTGCGTTTTACGTAATTTAGACCGATTGGTCTCGTCGGATGCCAAATTTGGTTGTTTTCATAGATCGTAAGCATCATGAACTTTMGTAACCAAGCACATGATTTTCCAAATACTTCGACAGCGAGATKTCGGCCTGGTACTTGTACTGACTTTGGTTGCCTATTGACAACCCGCCGGTTTGTTTGGTAGAGCACCGAAATCAGTTTGTGACCGAAGCTGGGCCCCGGGAAATCCTAGTGGAACACTTGTAGTTCTGCAGGGAGTCATTCCTCTACTTCCAACCACTTGGAAGGCGGCTCTCCATAKCCTTGAGACCTTATATAACCTGCAAGAAATTGCCATTTCTATACTGTMCTATACTGTACCCCACAAAGTTTTCTACGAAGCGTAATCTTCARTCGATCGATCAAAGCACAAGATTTTATGGCCTTCTTCATCTTGTCTCATCCCATAATGCGTCGCAAGTCATGAAGTAGGAACATCTAGATACATTGTTCATTCCGTCAACGCCAAAGGAAAAGRAGGAAAAACAACAGCATGAAACCTCATCAGGAGATGATTTTGAGATYGAAGGACCTGCATCTGGTTGTAGAAATTGATCTACCTGCGCTACTGCTAACCGAGTGAAGGATGAACTTRTCGGATACCAATCTCTTCCGTTCTCGTTTCCTATCTTTTTGGATTTTACCATGATGTTTTCAAACTAACTTTAAATAATTATTATTCCTATCATTAAAATTCACCCCGGATCGCCGCTTGTTGTTCGGCCAAGTCACGCTGCTCGCGCCTCCATTCCTTTTCGAGAGGTCCCAATACRTTCTTTTGGAACACATCGAAATATTTCTTGAGACTTGTCTTTTGCCATTCATGCTGCAACGCGTGCTTCTTCTTCTTTGGCTTTATTTCATTCTCGCCCTGTGCATCCGAGTCRTCTTCGGTACGTTCGCTTTCGTCTTTGTGGTATTCATCCAGTTCCCTCGCCAATTGACCCAAGGTTGGGACGGAAAATGGATCGAAACCGCCACCATTCTGGGTATCCATGGCATTCGGATCGATAGGGACACAAACGCGCCCGGTCTTCGGATGAACGCAAAAGGGAGACTTCAGCAAGTGATTTTGCATCTTCGAAACGTTGATATCCAATCTGGGATACGWGTATTTAAACACGAATTCCATTGGCCACATATAGACCTTGCGCGTTTCGTCATCGAGAGTCGACGGCGAAAAGTTTTTCTTGAACTTCTTGCTCTTGGTCGTTTCATTGCCCTCCTTGGCAGCCACGGAGGACGGAGAGGGCCAAGAMGGAGGAAAATCGAATTTCACTCGCAAATGCTGTAGCAGAGTTTTCCATTTTTCCACCGGCGAGAGGTTGTCGACGTCTCGTGGGTTGGACCATTTCTTTTTGAGATTCTTTCCGACAGTTTCCTTTGCCCTATGGGGCAAGGTATCCAATACGAGATCTTCCCARGCATCACGGCTTGCAAGCAATCCRTGTCCGTGAATTCCAGAATCTTCGCTATCGTCCTCGTCTTGTTCGCTAGGCAAAACATATCGAACAAAATAGGGTTCCAGAACATCGTACGAGCGGCTCAACAAAGGGTGAATGCACCCGCTGGTGTTGTTGCTGTCGAGAAGGCCCTGGCCATTTTTCTTGTTCAAAGAGATCTGGGGATCGAAGGAATAAAAATTTTGGAAAAGTGGGATCAATAATAAACAGGGTAATTGATTGTGAGTATTTTTCACAGGTTTCGAAAAACAGGAGTAGAGAAATGAAGCCAAAGGTGAAAGTCAGACGTTTGATCTGAAGAAGTCTCATTGCAAGTTGCTGCATCACCATTCCATCATGGCCAACAAAGCATTTATCCATAAACAACACTTTTCTAATCGAAACATCAGCGTGAGTGTAAGTTCGTACCTCGAAGTAGTTCGCAACGGCCGATCGCGCTTCGTCGGACAGGTTCCGTGCTTCCTCATCGCAGACCCATGCGTGGATACCACGACGCCCGGAATAAAACCATGCAATGTGTTCAAAGCCAAAATCTTCTCTCAATCCTTGATCCAAAACYTTTAAGGCCGCAGCCATGAAAGTCCAGCAGGTCCTACAGATCTTGGCACCGGAACATCCACACCGACGCACGTCGTCGTAATCTGTTAAATCGATATCAAACACCAATTCACGCTGAACGGGCCGAAATCCAGTGTTTTTGCTGCTGCCTCCGACATAAGCTGCTTTGTCTTTGGGTGGGTGACTGAAGACGGCACCRATGTCAATTTTACGGGGCTGGCGTCGGTTGATGGCAGCTTTGAGTCCTTCCAGATCCGAAAAAGATTGGTATCGTATGTAGAKTTCTTCACCAGGCTCTGGTTCCAACGTGAAAGAAAATTCGCGACGTGAAAATATCTTTTTGTTATTGTGGGTGCTCGCTTTGTTGCTGTTGGCGTTTAAGCTTGAATTGGTGTCGAAGGAGGCGTCATAGGATAACCACTTGCAAAGCAGGGAATATGGAAACAATCGAGCGTAATACATCTTTAGGAGTTGCGGGCTAAAGACCTCTTCTTCTTGTCTTTGCTTTTTGAATGGAGACACGGCATTCGCCGTGGAAGCATATGGAGTCGCAATCGTAGTGCCAGCGCTTCGGGCACCGGTCTTGCCTTCGTCGTGGGCCATGTCGTCGTCGGCATTCTCTGCGATCGTGCCTTCGACAGCCACGGGAGAAGATGCCGTCATTTCAAATATTTCGTAGGATGTGATGGAATGTAGTTGACTTAGTCTCGCGGAAGGGAGACTTTACTTCTCTCAGTGATCGCCTCCGGTGTGTTTCTGAACGATGTCTGTTGCTTTGATGCAGTTAGTACGCGATTAGATATGTCGTAATGGAGTATTGAAGAGATTGTGCTACTCWTTGGTGCGGGAAGTACCAGTCTACAGTAGAACGGCATGAAAAAAATAAAGAGTAACAAGAAGGACAACCAATTTTTTGCCGCGCCGAATGCACAACTGGTTCTACATACAGTACAATACAGTACCGTACGGTACGTACTCGTACCGTTATGAGTGAACTGATCATCGTGACAAAGCAACGATCTGGGCAATGACAAYTCGTTCGCGCCATTTTAGAATTAGAGACAAATTATTCGATTCGTACGACCAAAAAATAATACTACTACTACCGTATTGTACTGTATGTATTTAAGTCCGTAAACCAGAAATAAATAGTAGTAGTAAATACTACTACTACGATACTACAACATACAACACAGATGTTTGTGATACCCTGCTATGTGCAGATCTCGTAAAAGGATTTTTCTTCAAAAATACGCAGGAAACAGGCAGCTATCCTCAAAAAACCGTCACAATGTACATACAAACACTGTTGCCGTTGCTGATATGTCTTCTAGTAAAAGTTCAAGCCTGTTCTTGGTCATCTTGAGAGTTTTGTGAAGTTCCTCGGATCAATTGATGCGCGGCGACATGAATCTTCGTGATCAAAAGCGGTCATTAAACAATATTACTACTAGCAGTTCTGGTACTACTAGTAGTATATTCTTGATAGAGAATACTGTATCCAGTATAAGAGAAGGGATCCAACTACAATGCCCATGATTTTTAGTACAGAGAATCGACTTGTTCAATTGTATCGTCGACATCACTGTACAGATCCCGCAGTTTTTCGAGCGTTCTATCGTCGGTTTCCCACATGCCTCTTCCATTCGCTTCTAGCAATCGTCGGACAACGTTCTTGAAGGCTTCTGGATTGGCCTTTTGAAGCTTCCGTGCCACATCTTCGTCCAGCGCGTACCGTTCTGCAGCTTCGTCGAACACAAAGTTGTCAACACTAGCTGTTGCAGCCCAGCCAACCATCGCTGTCATTCGTTGAGATACTTCGTAAGCCCCTCCCGAGCCTTGATCGATCATAGCATCTCTCCATTTTGGATTTAAGAACTTACTTCTGTACTCTAGGCGAAGAACATCTTCGACGTTTCTCACTGGTACCTTCTGTTCTGATTCATTGGGAGAWGAGAATGCTTCAACCACTGATAGTGCCACGGCTTTTCTCTTTTTAGTAACGCTATCAATCGGTTTCCTATTTTCAGCAGCCTTCTTCATAGCACCCGTATTTGCATAGTATTCTGGATAGCATTGTAATCAGTTGAAGCAGAAAGACCGGAAACTCAGAATGTGTAGATTTATTCATGCATTTGATGCATAAAACTGCAACAACTTACCTTGAATATCGGTGAGACCGTATTCAACAGAGTCGATTTCTTGTACGATACGATCTGTCGTCGTGAGGAGCTTCTCCAGTACATCGGGTCGTGCCGTACCACTGATTCCTTCGCCGCTTCCCTCGTTCCTCCCATAAGAAAACACATTTCGGCCTTTCCATGTTTCTCCCAGGGATTCAGAGTCCTCCCAATCTCCTGATCCAACGACTTCGTTTACCATACTCCCATAGTCACCTGGAGGATTCGAAAACAGTCTTGCAGCTGGTCTCTCAACGCCATCCTCGGAGAGTTCCAAAGCATGTTTCTTGACAAAATTCATGTCGATGGGCTCATCCGAAATCGCGCATCGCTCGAACATGTCGTCTAGTAAATCGACCACGTTTGCAAAAGAATCCCGGAAGATTCCGGAGAGCGATGCCAAGACGTCGATTCTAGGCCTATTTAATTCCTCGAGCGGGATCAAGTCGAATCGTACAATCCTCCCAGTGCCTTCTTTAATCGGTTTTGCGCCTACCAAAGCTAGAACTATGGCGATTGATTCGCCTTMAATGAGAGAAATAATGTGAGTATGGATTGTCGTGATGAACAGAAGCAAAACCTCTGATTGACGTACCTCTCGTTTTGATAGTATCTAAACCCCACAATGTGCATGCGATGGTCTCTGGRTACGCGCCATCGTTATCAGATAAATGCTGTCTGATGGTCTCTTCTGCGATATTTTTACCTTCATGACACAAATGAGGGGTGAGAACGTGTCTATCTCTCTKAACGAGTTGAAGTAGTTTCAGAACGTACCTCGAATCCAAGCACCTTCAGCTGGCATCCTATATGGATCAAGGGCGTGTATGTTACGCCCCGTTGGTAAAACTGCTGTCCCATCTCTCAAGAGATCACCTCCAGGGGCGGGTGGAATGTAACCACCGTCTAATAAATTTAAAATTCCGTCTAGCTCTTCGGTGTTTCTATTGAGCAAAGATACTATATCCTTTGCTRTCGCAATATCACCCTCATCATTCTCTTCTTCTTGACTATCAAAATTAGTCACGAAAGATTTCCCAAAATCAGCGAGAAAATCTAGCAAATTCCGTTCCCGATGTTTACCGTTTTCATCATTCAGAATCTTTTCATAGTCTTCCTCTGTCAATTTGTCATTAAAAAATGCAGACAAAAAAGATTTAAGGTCATCKTCTGAGGGCTTACTCCCAAGAACATGAAGGCCACTAGAGAAGAGACGTTCTTGAAGTACGTCCAAGTAATCTGCTAATTGTWTCACCCATTTGTCAAATGTCTCAGACGATAAAGACTCTGGAAGATCTGGATCTACCACTTTGCTTTCTTCGTCACCTTCAATCATCAACAGAGGAACATCAGTGTCAATTCCACAACGTTGACACGTGCTCCATATAGGCTGTTTTAGATCCCCCGACGCTCCTGTGCGGTATTCACSAATCAAGTCTCTTAGACTTGCTAGTTCCAGGTATAAACCAGCTCTACCATATGGAGGGACATTGTAGGATACCAAGGTTCCATAACCTCTCCGTTTTGCGAGGATACTCTCACTGGGATTGTTGGCAGCATAAATATATATATTTGGTATACCACCAAGTAGTTCGTCGCTCCAAGACTCGCGATCGTTACCCAAAGGTTGCCCTGATAGGAGGTGTAAACAATTATGAGGCAAAAATTGAGATAAAAATGCGATGTTCAGAAATGTCATCAAAGTTTCAAGTGTGCTGAATGACCTACCTGGAAGCCACTCTACAGTCCCATGCATCCCAAGATGAACGACAGCCTGTGCTCCGAATCCACCGTCTTCTTCGGGCAACTTCATAAACTCGTAGCAAGCACAATATTGGGGGTGTGGGGTGAGATCTCGTTGGAAGAGCAATCTCATAGGATCTCCTTCAACGCCCAGTAGAGGTTGAACTGCAATCCAGATATTCCCTATTTGTAAACCACTGACAACAAGGTGACCGTTTGAAGAGGTTCCAGGTCCACGATCTTTCTCACTCCAAGCTCGACGAACTTTGGTTGCCATGTGCTTCCCCATGACCTTTTCCAAATCATCAAAACTTAGATCGAGTGCTCGGACCTCGGCTCCACCAAGTCCTCCACCTGGCTTAGCCAGAGTTTCCGCTATCGTTATATCTCCATTTGTGGCCCTTTCGATTCTTGATGCAAGAGCCTCTTTCATTCTTCCTGCACCACCAGCAATGACAGCCTCTTCACTTAATATCCCCAATGCTGCAATGATGCTAACGATAGTGAAAATATAAAAYATTGAATCTGTAAGTACCAAAATTGTACACATCTTTGTTTCTGATGTTGCGAAGGCTACAAAGTTCCAAACTTTCTAATACTGCGTACCTTTCTCCACAAGCGTTCGGATCAGTAACAAAATCTCCAACATTGTAGCCATCTTCGTGCATCTGAGTCAACATATTTTCAAGAGATCTAGGGACATCCAGCAAAGCTGCGGTTCCMACAGCCCCAACGTTCGGAGGAAATCCATAAACCATGATCGAAAGCTTCCTATCTTTCTTAAGGGTTCTTCGCAGCTTAACCCATCCTTTGATTCTCGAAACCAACTTTCGAACACGCTCGTTTACCAACGCTATTTTGTCCCCGACTAAGCCACCTAATACTACAGTGTCGATAGCGCCATCAAGCTCCGGTAGAGAATATAGAACGACAGATTGTAATCCCAAAACTCCGCTTTCTTTCCATTGCTTAATACTTTGTAAAAGCAAAGGACTTGCAACGATATATGGCACATCCATATCTCTCAATAACTTTTCTGCCACAGCAACGTTTCTTCCTGCCTCMATTGATCCAGCAGGCCCACCGACGAGTGGGAACCCAATCGTGTTAACAATGGCGTCCACACTCACAGCTTTAATAGACTGAAATGAACTTTCCCTAATAATGGTGCCACTAYCAACTCCTTTTATTTCGTGTTCCGATGTCAGCAAATCCCGAACGATCGTGTGGCCTTCTACACCATTGATGAAAATTGGGACAGGACAAATTCCATTCTGCTCCATCAATCTAATCAGATCCATGATGTACGGTTGATCTGTTATCACRTGTTTCCTGTAAAGAAGGACTGCAACCCGAGGAGCGTCTTTTGGAGCTAAAGTAAATCCTTCCTGAAGAGCTCTTGCCGAGCAATCAGCTGAGTTTCTCCATTCTAAAAATTCTCTTGGACTAGTGAAGTATTCGTTATTCAAAGGATGCAAAAGGCCTACGTCAGGAGTGACCAACACTTTTGGRAGGTGRCTTATGTCCTTGTTTGTGTAAGCTTTCTGCAACAAATCAAYCATGTATTTGACATTCGTAGAGCCACCTTGATTCCAGTAGCGATAAGCTTCTAACCAGATCTTGAGATCGCTCGCCTTCTCACCAGGCACAAATTTCAGCAGATCAGGACCAAATTTGAGAAGCTTGACATATCCTGCAACCCGGTCTTCTTCTTTCCCGGAACCAAACTGAGAAAGTATTGCTTTGACTGCCGGGGGTGGACCAGCTTTTTCACCAGTAGAAGACTTTTTCATATTGAAAGTTCCAACTTCATTGTATTCCATGAGCTCTAGGGAACATTCAAATAGTAGCCTCGGTCCTTTCACATGAGGCAACAACGCTTCAACGGCTATGACATCGTCATAGTCAAATATCAAAGATCCGACAAAAATATCTGCATTCTTCATCGCAGCTGCGAATACCGGATTGGTTTCAGTGGGAGATACACGAATTTCAYTGTCTGCAAAAACCTTGAGGTGGACGTCTCCTAGTGATTTCGCAGCCTTGACGTAAAGTTCTTTGTTGAACGATTCAAACCCTGCGACGAGGACAATATTTGGATTATCCGCACCACCTTCTTCTCTTTGACCAAATGCAGGAGAACGTTCAAGCTGAGAAGAATAGAGAGTTTGGAAAGAAGATCTCTGATTTGGAAAGCGAATAAGTTCACTTGTTTTTCTCGCGATGCCATTGCCTGAAAACGTTGTAAAGGATGAGGAAGAAAGTATTGTGACCGTTAAGGTCAAGCCCAGAAGCTTCATCCGTATCATTTTTATTGATCGACAATGGTATTTACATTTGCTCCCAGATGTGTTCAACTTTCAATTTTGAATCGATGCATCTAACCTGAAGTTACTTTGTATTTCTGGACACCGAGAGAATATTCTTCTTAAGCACCYGTGCCGTAATACCGCTGCTGTATCGAAGTAGCAATGTGTGGTCGTTTGGTATCTTCTCTGATACTACAAGTSACAAGTTTTCCCATCTGTTCTCAMTCGGTAATTCTACTGTGTTTCAAGATTCGCAAGAGAAGATCTCAAATACTGTACCTACGTACTTTGTACAGGCTTATTCGTGAGGAACAAAGAACGTCCAGCGATCTTGAATCGACCCATTCGACCAGCTGGTATTTCAATCGTGAATCCAAGGTAGGAAATYTTGGAAAATACCGGTATGTCTTCCGTAAAATACTACGAGTACGTAAAATAAGTGCAGTGTTACTCCCGAAAAACATCAAGAATTCAAGAATGAGCTGAGCATCACATCACAAAACCAACAGTTTTCCGTTCCAATAGCCTCTCTATGTTGTTCTTTCGACTACATGAGTAGACTTGACCTTCTCGACATGGTCGCATACTAGATGCACCTGGATTGAAAGTTTGTTTCTGATCCCCTGCCCTSGGTAATCGCATGAATATTGCGGTCAAAGAATTTCAAGACAACATCATCGACAGCATTGCCACCAACACGAACATCCTTATTAGTGGAATGGAAACTATTRCGGGAATAGAAGTCGATTACCAACTGGATATACAAGAAAGGGCTTGATACCGTACGAGTAGTCCTCGAAAAAGTCTAGAGATGAAAAGCGTAGATTATGCATGGATCGTTGGGTTGTCGGCTGTGATGCAAGCGAGAAGATGGGCAYTTTCCCGCGTATGCTCATGGATGGATACTGAGTCAAACTCAACAAGTGAGTCAATGATACCGGGGAGATCGCGTCAACGATGAAAAACCAGTAYTTTCTTTACTCTAATTGAATCAGCCATTATTAGATGACGATATTTTGATGGATGGATTTTACCTATGTTCGATTAGTGTAGTAGAGAAGAAGACAAATGAATGGATCCAAGGAGTATCAYGTCACTCGCCTAAGAAACGGTGCTAGAAGYTTTCAGTTGTATGCGCTGTCGATGATACGATAATGTCACTTTCTTCCTCTATAAATGAGATTGCCAACGAGCTCTGCAAGTGCTGCCTGATGATACTCGATTTGCTGTTCCAAAGATCGACGTGAAGGTGGATCACAAGTCGGAAAACAAGTGTTACCGGTGACTCTATCAACACAATTCACCAACCCAAATATAAAGCACCCACTTTCGTCGGGACAGTCTTCTTCGGGGATATTCTCGACTGGTTCGGACGTGACGGTGCTTGTTGTAGCACTTGTCGGGGATCCGGTGGCAACAGTAGTGGTACTAGGACTTTGGGTCGAATCGATAGAGGAGGTTGTGGACACCTGTGAAGTAGGGTGGTTGGTAGGATTTTTGGTCGACTCTGTTGGCGAATCTGTAGAAAGTTCTGTGGTAGGATAATCACTAGGTGCAACAGAAGTGTCAATGGGGCCCTTGGTTGGAAAGGGTGTCACGGGAGGAGTTTCATTTGGATCTGTCGGCTCTTTGCTAGGAGGACAGCGATAGGTTACCGGAAAAGAAGTTGGGAAAAAGCTGAGAGGAGTAGCGGGATATGTAGAAAGATATACAGAAGGTACATCGCTGACTAAGAATGTTGGATTGTCACTTGGAACGTTTGATGGATAGACCGAAGGAGAAACAGATGACTCGGGACTCTTGGTTTGGAAATCACTTGGAAAAAGAGAGGGAGCAAAATTTCCAGAAGGGAATTCYGATTGACTATCATAGGAGGAAATACTRGGACTCATGGAAGGTCGGAGGATTGCTTCCAATGACGGAGAATGACTCGGATCTGCGGTCGAAGGTTCAGTGCTACTCTCGATGGAAGGATTGGATGATGACCTATGAGAAGGACCTTCGCTGGAAATAGTTACCGGATCATTGGTTGGAGAAAAATCAGGCTGCTGTGGAGTTCCAGCGAACGGACTTGGTGTTGGAGCTGGATTCGGRCCTCCGACTGGATTCTCACTGGGAGGAGAAGAGATCGARTCGGTATCGCTTGGTGACTGACTAGGAGAAAGAGAGGAAGGAGCCGAGCTTGGCAGAGCATTCATTGGTACATCGTCACACTCGCGGCATCCGCAGGTTGCAAAGGTCGGTTCGAAAAACATCCCGTCATAGTCGCCACTGTTCATGTTGTGGCTACTGTTGCCATGTGGCCAGAAACCGACGCTCGTACCATCAATGAATTGGTAAAAGATTGATGTAGATGGGGGTTGACCAACGAAGACAATATCGTCGGGTAGCCTCGACTTTTCGTTTTCGAAATCAATGAATCCTAGTTGATGTCAAGATGAACGGACAGATATGAGTGGACAGTAGTATAAATAAAGAACAAACGACAAAATAGCAATAAGCATCAAAAATACTCAAGAATCTCATTCCGAGARAWATCTTGCGGATGGCTGCGAACATACCATCATAGGGGCAGGTTCCAGCAAACTTGCCGTACCCAGGGAAGAGGGGATAAGAGAATCTCCCCTTCTCATCAGTGACCTTCTCGCTGCACGAGGTTTCGAAAAAGGTGACAGCAATTGATGCTATCGAGAGAGAACTTCCTGTGTCGTCGTCGTACGGAAGGTGTTCGATTCCGAGGACGTCGGGCAATGGATGAGAGAAGTTTGCGACTGGACCTTCTCCAAAATCGGTTGTAGAAACCAAACAAACATCGAAGTGAGAAGCAGAAGTTCCGAGTGGGTCGTACGTCAGAAATTCTCGATCGAACAGGGTGCACGACGCAACGTCTCCAAACGACGAGGAAGAAGCATCGGTCACGTCGTCGAAGCAGTCGCAGTCTACAAATTGGACACCAGAATCCATGATCTCGTTGTTCATGGAACTACTGTCTAGAACAAGTGGATCGCTGGTGCCGGTAGGCTGGCACTTCTTTTCTTCGACAAGGTTTTCATCGAATACAACACCCATTTCCCCAGCACACCCGAAGAATCTGAGCTTCAGCGAAGAAGCTCCCTGGTAGCAACAAAAATTRCATGGAGTGTATCTACCGGAACACTGAAATGATTGAAAGAAACAAAAATTGGAAGGAACGATTCGAAAGCAAAACAAGCGATACCTCATTGAGTCATGATCTTGGTCATTGGATTCAAATTTAACTTCGATCTACAATACTATGCAAGATGTTTKATGGCACGCCCGGAAAGGCTCTTGTGTCATTCACAAGAGACATTAAACACAGGGTGGAATTGTTTGCTTACCTTGGGACATGCRTCTATGAGAGAGCTTTCGCTGAACCCACTTTCTTCACCTTCGTTTTGGTGGAAACCACAAACGCTTGCGCAATTTTCATTGGCCGAATCGAAGGGGGTCAAAAGTTCAAAGAGATYTCTCCGAAGCAAGTCGTTGCTACCTGTCCCCTGACGTCCAGTGGCCATAAAAGCAACTGTTGAGTTTCCAATKAGCTTAGTAGCTCCGATATCTGCCGATAATCCGTGGACGACAGCACCGAAAGATCGAGAAAAGGGAATGAGCAAAACCGCGACCGCTAGTAGTGAAGCAGATGCGGTCACTACCACTAGGATGCACGATCCACGAAGGACTACCAGCATAATGTGTTATTGAAAAGAAATAWTTAGGTGAAAGCAAGTAATGATCGTCTTCGCGAGAAGAACCTTCAATAGCCGAGATTGGATTGATTTTGAGAGATTGATTTGTTGCGAAGCAAAAATCAATTTGTGAGCTCATCATTTTCTGSAAAGTTTCTGAGAAGGTACCGAACGTAGGTCCCGGTACAGGTACGTACGTACTGGATAGATCTTTCGAAGTTTTCGTTTTGATTGATTGATTGATCGATACGATACGATGATGGTCACGCATGAAGAAGAGAAAAAAACGAAATGAAATCCAAAATCCTCCTGAACAATCATATCAAGCTTCCAGAAACAGCACGTACGAGTACGAGAAGTAGTACCTTTTATTTACGTCTCAAACTAGGTAGRTACTATACGTACATACTACACATACTGTTTTGTAGGAAAGACCCCCCCCGTACCGTACTGCTGTACGGTACGGTACCGTACGATACGGTAAGAACTAAGAAGTGCTGGAACATCGGCAGTACCTAATGTACTCAAGATACGTACGTACTAAACAAAAAACACTACTTGTACTTTATGGTTAGTGTTTTTCAGCGAAGAAGRTCGCTGACGCGGAAATGATGATGTAGACATTCAACAAGCAATTTCTTCAAACCAATTAAAACGGAAGGAATTCACCATCTGTTCCTTTGTCATTCCTTCATAATTCTGCCTGCTACGAGCACGCCGGTCGCACGCGCGTACTACGTTGTGGACCACTGATGACTTGGTAAAAAGAAGATCCAGAAATTAGTGTTCTTCCAAGGAAGGAAAAGGCCGAGTTGCGTGCGTACTCGTACCCTTACCAGCATATAGCTTTTACCCCAGCTTAGCCATCAGGTTCGGGCCGAAGACATCGTTGGGTCACCCTCGTTTCATCGGCATCTCACTCATTTGACCTGAAAAAGAGTAAACAAAACCATGAAGACCTGTGCCGCCACCATCATCGCCCTCGTAGGCAGCGCCAATGCGTTCGCTCCATCCAACGGAAGCGCCCGTTCTTCGACCTCGTTGAACAGCCAYTTCAGCTCCATCGAAACCCAGCTTTTCAACAAGCAGACCTTGTTGAAGGCCTTGAACGACATGGGACTCAAGACCAAGTCGACGAAGGACGGAGAGCAAATCGAGGCACGAGGATACAAGGGAGAAACCATCATGGCTGACATTGTTGTCGAGCAGCAAAACAACTACGATGTTGCCTTCCGCAACAACGGAGAGAGCTACGAATTGGTCACTGACTTGCAGTTCTGGCAACAAGCCATGCCTGTCGATGCCTTCATGGAGAAGGTCAACCAGCGTTACGCCATCAACAATCTTGTTGACACTTCTGGTGAAGAGGGATTCAATGTCGACAACGTTGTYACWGCGGCCGACGGAACTGTCACATTGGAAATGTCCCGTTACGCCTTCAACTAGAGAATATCTTGCGAAATCAAGACAGCCTCTTTGTAGTCCGAGTCCCGTGCATCCGTGGAATCGAAAGTGAAGGAGTATGTAGAAGCCGTGTATACAACTGGAGCAACACGTCGATTGTTCAACAGAGTACATSGCACAGGAGAAATCCACAGCGCACGCTGAGTATCATTTTACCACAACCACCCACAAAACCTCGTTATTTTGTTTGGCAACGATCAGTACAGATTCCATCTAGAGTTTCTGTAGCACTAAAATAACAACTGTAAGTCATCAAGCACTTGCCATTCACACCATATGTYATCAGTATCGTAACACGTAGTTTGTAACCTTCGCGCAAAAGGCACACGAACGTTCCTCTAGCGCCATGGTAGCCTGTGTAGTCACCCTTCGTTCMTCGTGTAAACGATGGATCCGGAAATSGAATGACCACTTCGTATATCTACAGTAGGTGAACAAAGGACATGCAACAGAAGCTTCCGCGAATGAGCAAGTAGATCTATGAAGAATGAAATTTACTATGCATCCCAAGAAAACTACTACTAGCATTGAGAACTACAACATGATTCACCAGTTCGCATGCCTGTAATTCATTCTGCTACTCGTGCAGAGCATTCAATAACAGTTGATTTGYTCTTACGTTTTACATCACAATTTATTTTATTGTGGCACTTTCTGCGATGCTACGTACGCAAGTACTTTTGAAATACTGATGGCGTATTATTCCGAAACTGGTAAGTAGTGTGATGTGAGCCACTCACTACRACATAAATAATAAAGGCTACTGGCTTCTGTGCAAAAGTGTACGTGATAGTCCAGTGCACYGTGGCCAATTGAGTAGATCCCGCCCATCCCTACGTTTCATTTTCATCTCTCTTTTCATACCATGTTAGTTGATTCRTGAGAGCAGATTTGCGATTTCCGCATAATCTCTTTTCCCGACTTCGCTTTTTATGTAGTTTCTATTTTGATCAATAGAGAGAGGTTGAAAAGGATCCAAGTAGTGAAACATATGGTTGCCRAAGGATAATACAGGATCTTCGTCGTGGAAGTTACAAKGATGTCTTTCGCTGCTTTGATGGATGGGAACAATGCTGTTAATTGGCAAGGCGGGGCTGAACCCCATAGAGYMGATCTGCGTGGGTGTTTCTCTTTCCCTTTKAATYTGTTGTGTTTCACCCAAAACGGGAAATGGGACTGRAAAAGAGCTTGAAGAGCTCCTTCCTCGTCCTTTCGTAGAAATCTCTCTTGTTCTCTTAAAATTCACAGTACCAATATACCCATTTCCTTTTCTGTCATCATCACTAGTGACAGCAGTGACACGTGATTCGCACCATTTCATAGTCCAAAAGTTAGGTTCTTGATCCGGATTCGACCGAGCACGTACACCCGTGCCCTTGACCTGAACTCTGTRTATGTGACGAGTCAAAAACTTTTTATTTCGGAGGAACAGTTCATGGTAGTAGCAACCTCGGTCTCTCCCTAATGTCAGGCGCTGAAATCCATATAGATTCAATTGTCGCTGAAAACTTGAGAGCTTTGTCAGATTATAGTACTTCGGAAGGACTACTTCCTGAAACTCTTGTGGCTTGTGTATGATAAACGAACGACCATGTGGCTGCCAAGACACTATGCTGCCGTAACCATCGGTCAACGCTTTCTCAAGCATGTCGTGTAGTTTCTGAGGAAATGGGATAGCTACTCCTCCCCTAGATTTCSAAWTWACATTACRGAAAGTAGCTTCACTTTCACCCGAGTAATCGGTATAGTGATGTTGGACGACTGCAACAGTACGATTCTTTCCCTCTTTGTCAATCTTGGTATACTTCTTCACCGAGGCTGAGCGTGCTATTGATCGGCGCTCAGAAGGAACAGACTGAACCATGGAATCCGATTCTGGAATGTTCCTAGGAATGAATTTAGAGGTCGAGATACTCCAAATCGGAAGAGGTTCGTATTTCGATGAATCGAAAATACAACCACTGATGTCTTGTTCCTCGCWATTATTCGTGGCGGGTTGGGGCTTTCGGCCCTGCAACGATGTTGAATTCGCTGAAGGTGTTTTGTGTGAGCGAGGGAKACACATATCAATGCTATATTGGCGAGATTGCAAACGGATGCTTTAGTTTTGGGGGCTTTGAAGGTTGGTTTTCTTGTGCGATACCGGCAGAGTGTGAGGTTGGTGCYTCAATCAGAAAACATCTCTATTTTGTGACAAAAACGTGTTTTGCGTTTTTCTTTTCGATGAGAAGAACGGTAGCAGTGATTCTTTTTCTCTATTACTTACTGTGCTSAACAATCAGATTTGTTTCAAAACATTTCAACGGAAACAGAAACTTAGCGAGTCGTATGCAATCGTACTTAATGAACTTCAATGTAATATGWCGAGGTTTTATGTAATGTTCAACAAAAAGAGTTCGTTTTTGAAGACTACTACTAAGTATTCAAATAACTTATCAATATACACTTGGTCATAGAGAAGCTGAGAASAATAATTAATTTTCTTAGTCGCCCATCGAAGAACAATAGTTTGTCATTTTTATAGGTGAGTTTCGATTTTTCGAAGAAGCCATGAGCCCGCCAAGATCCTCATACCATACTCTAATGTAGTAGAATTTTACTGTAATCAGTTTCGATTATTGTACTCCACTCAGTGAAATACAATTCCTTTTATTTTTTAGGATGTTAAATAGAGAAATATCAAATCTGAGGATCGAGGCGACGAGAAAAACCTCAGATGAAAATGAAACAACATTCAACATCCTGCGAACCAAACATCAATTGATATTTTTAACTGTACGGTATGGAGGTCACGTGAAAAATAGAAGACTTCAGTTCTCATCCATTTGATTGTTACCCTTAGTACAAATACGTACGTAGCCTTATTCTACATGTACTGTTGTAACGCTTCGTGAGTCATACCGGTATGTACAGTAAGTGAATTTGGTCTCAAAAAATACTGAGCCCCCGATCGCGCGTTTTTTAATATCAGCGCATTCGCTAGCAAGATTACACTCAGTGGCGAGGGGGAAGAGGGAAATCTGTTCCACAGAAGGTTCTCTCTTTGGGGGCTCTATGAAAATTGATTTAGGGGGAATGTCTGAAAATAAAATTTATTATCAGTGAATTAAAAGCTTATTAATCTCATTAATTAACTTTATTAATCTGAATAATTAACTTTATAAATCTGATTAATTAACTTGTTTATTAATCCCGGGAATTGAATCAAGTTAATTCAAAAGGTTTTCATCACGCATTCAAAACTGTACTGGGGCCTACACTTGTCAACCTAAAACTCCTCCAGCACCATTGAGTGAGCTTTGGTGGGACCAAGGACCGGTCTGCATGTGCTTTGAAAATGATATTCTGTCACTATAACCAAACCCATCGAATATAATATAGCTAGATAGAAAAAATAATTCATTTCAGTAATAGAATTAATTAACTTGATTAATAAAGTTAATTAACTAGATTAATAAACTTTATTATCAGCAATATAAAAGTTAATTAATAGCGACGTTGGTCTTCCCCCAAAGACACAATTTTCTATGCACTAAAAAAAGAGTGTTCCTCTGGTTGGAGTTTCCCGGAGTGCCTGGYGCGTGTGGTCTCTTTCAACAGCCACTTCCGTGAGTATATTAAAAAACGCACAATCAGGGGCTCTCCTGGGATGTCACTAAACGACGCACTACAAGACACTTTAAGCTACTGGACCTACGCGAGGCAGAACGACTAAATAGACCCCTGGGACGTTTGGCTTTCACATTCAGATTGTGGCGGGTGCCCACCATGCATGTGCATACCCTCGTTTTTTTCAGGCACTGGTCTTCTTTTCTTGTCAGAACCCACCAATAAGTAATTTATTTCCTTAAGTACTGAAAAATAACACATGAAACCACAGGATGCAGCAGGAGTGCCAAGAAAGTACACCAAAAAAACCAAAGTCCTCAATGACCACAACACAGGCACACAAACACATTAAATGCACCTCTYCCTCCAACCACTGTCATTCCAATTGTAGCTAAGATCATGAATCAATCTACTTCTCACTTTGCATTATTTTTCATCACCACATCCCCAATATATCCTGCAAGTTTCAGAGTGAGTGTGTTACTGCTTGGATTGCTTTAGGAGGTATTTGTAAAAATTCGGAACTGTATTCYGCCTATTSCTTTTATTCCGCATGGTCCACCAGTACCTAATTCTGACTAAATGKTTTTATCGGCATCTCTCTTTTTCTGAACAAATGTTTTATTCCGCCCAACAACTACTACCTCAAGGCACTACTAGGCAGGTAGCAATATTACCAGCATGGCTACAAACACCCTACAAAAAGTGGAGCCACCATCACCACCAATCTACTAACTGATGATCATGAGAATTTGATGTCAGAAAGAAAGTCTTGGGAATGTGATATGGTATTTAATGTTGCCATACCTGATCCACAAAAGAAGGAAAGTGAAGATCCTGTGTTGGTCAATCTGTCTGACCTTTTCAGGAGAGGAAAGTCCTACAAGTTTCCCTCTCACTTTGATGGCCRTGACAAACAATCCAGGTTGATTATGTCCTTGAAGTTGACAAGCATAAAGACTGGCTTCTTACTTGTAACCAGGTCTTCAAAAAGTCAGAACGAGTTGGCAAAATCYGGGAAATTTGGAGCATATATCAGGTTGTGCTGCCAGCACAATAGGCCATATGGTGAGAAGGCAAAGAATGTTCAAAATCAAAGAAAAACGAGCACAAAGCAGCCTCTTTGTCGAGATGATGTATGTAACTTTGCAATGATATTGAGTATGACTGGTGTTCCTTCCAAAAATCACTCTGGCCAGTGGACATTGGCACCAACTAAAGCCAATGTTGGTCAACACAATGGACACTGGAAAATGCAGCCAGAGCAGTTAAGAGTATCTGTAAGATCAATGTCCAGATCAGAGAAGGAGCTTGCATTACAATGCAATCAGTTGAGTTTCACTTGCTCTGTCTCGGTTGCACTGCTAAATATATGGGATGAGCTCCAAGCAGGAATCACATGGACAGACAAGCAAATTCGTTACTTGTCACAAAAAGAGAAAGATCGTGTGAGTAGATTGTTATCAAAAGCTTCAAGTGCCRACAAACTGATTGAGGCATTTGATCAACGAAATGATGTTAACTATTTGTATGTGTCTSAGAGGATTCCTGTTGGTAAGGCCTCTTCCATCCCAGTTCCCAATTTCTATAGGATCCRAGAAGTACGCATTGTGGACAAGAAATATGCTAGTTGTAGCTGTGGTTTGGGAGTACGCAACAAGTATCCATGCASCCATATCATGGCTGTAATTGGCARGGTTCACTGGGAAATGTTTGGTGTTAGATGGAATGTGCACTACAACCATGCCTTTGGAAGAAACAATAAACAATGGAATAATCTTTTTCRAGAGTTAGAAAAAGAAGAGGAACGACGCAATCCAGGAAGAGGTRAACATATTTGGGTGGAAGGACTGCTACAGAATCTTCAACAATTCCAACCTGACAATTCATTTCTTGAAYATGTATCCTCCTCATGTACAATTACGGATGCAACATCACCACCAGAGCAGAAGGAGATTATAGTTGCAAAGAAGGTAATGTTTTGGACTGACASAGGTTCACCTATTGTTGTAGGKCAAGATATTCCAGATATTCCTGACCAGCTTTCCTCAGTTGATTGCAATGACACCATKTTCATTGGAGAAGATGACACAGACTACAACATTAGCTTCTGTGATGAAGTTGCTACTATTCAGGAGGAGGATCACACATTCCAAAACAGTCTTTCACTCACCCAAGAAACGCAGCAGGAAGAATCAAAAAGACTTGCTAATTCTAAAGAATCAAAACATCAAACAGCAGTTGGAATTGCAGCAGAAACTATTAGAATTGTGGAATACAATGATGCAATGTACAAGGAATACATAGAACTACTAAATGCAGCTCAAAATTATTTCAGAGAAAAGGTTTCTTCCGAGAACCCAGCCACACAAGAATCTTCTCCGCATGGTGTTGTGATGGTTGAGACAGGTGTACTTCAAAGCAAAAGACAGAGAAAAGGAAAAGAAATGCATTTAAGTGATGATTTTGTATTCTGTCAGGCTAATAGTTTCAAAGTACATAAATCATATTAAATTGATTCAGATTGGTTCAACAAAATTTTTTATTCCGGCTAATAGCG